GACATCATTTTCCCAGTCCCAAATAAGTTCAAAATATACAAAAAGCAATAAATTAAAAACTAGTTAAGAAATAGGCATTAAAATGATATGTTTAATCTATGAAAAATCAAATTTTAATAATCGAAAAATGGCAATTACTTTTCCATCAATCCAATATATTTTTTGCATATAAGTAATTAAAATAATACATCTAAAATGGTAAAATCATTGTAATTGTGAAATAAAGAAGAAATTTTTCAGTATGGATGTATAAAAGTATTTATGTATTTACTTAATCGTTTATTTCTTTATCCCTTTATTGTCATGTCATATCTATGTTTACTTAAATATTCACTCATTTAAACTCTATTCATTATTTGTTTACTTCCTTCGCTATACCTAAACGACTGAATTAGATGCTTTGCTTTTTGCACAAAATCTATTAATGCTTCAAATAAAATTTTATTAAGTATGGAGTAATATCGTACTGAATGAAATTCTAATTTGTTTAAATTTCAAAATTGTATGACTTCGTAAATAATATTTGAATTATGAATAAGGCAGGCATATGTATTGTAAATTACTGTTTTTTTAAATAAATAGCATTGTCCCTCTTTTTTTTGGATTCTATCAATATAAGTTAATTTTCCTACCAACAATGTTATTTTTGGCATTTTCCAGTTCAAACTTTTATGAGCCTTTTCTTTAGGGATTTAATACTACAAAACATACTAAATTGATGATATTTTAATTTTGTACAGATTCTTTTTTCTTATCAAATACTATCAGTAACAAATGATTAAAATGGACACATTGTTCTGTGAAGCATCACAAATTACTTCTATATCAGTATTTCATAAATAAACCGCTGTATAAGAAGTGCAGTCATCTAATGGATGAATAAGTTGTAATAGTAGTAGTAGAAACATTATCGAATGCTTTCTTTTACATTTATCTATGAGCATAGTGATGACTTCTTCAATAGAGCATTGTTGTGAAGAGCTGAAATGTCCATTTCGTCCAATTCATTTGGAATGGATCGACTCTTTATGCATTGCATATTTGTTTCTTTCTTTGAAATTTTTCTGTTCAAAAATATTTTATCCATGATCTGTTTCTTTCTTTCTTTTCAAATTCTTAATACCTGTATATGCATATATGTTATTATTTAGTTGTTTATTTGTTTGCTTATTACTATCATTCTCTCTTTAGTATTAAGTAATTTTTGTAATATTACCTTACAATATCATTGTACTTTATTATCACTTCTTTGCAGTGAACAAATTATTGTTCGAGTTGAGATACTTTCGTTGCTGATCTAATAAGATATCTAATTGGTCGATTAATTTGATCCAGGAATATTTTATTACCATTTTAACTCTGGGATATGATGGATGATACAACAATAAGTAAGTCATACTTATTTTATTTAATTTAAAACGATCAGACAGTGTACGATGCTTTTTTAGTACTAAGTAGTTTTTTCACGTATTTTCAATTATTACAATCACGCTAACTTACATTCATTACAATCATAAATCTAATTAAATTCTTCCATTTATGTTTAGAAACTAGTTGTAGTTTATAAAATTATAATGAAGTTACATGTATGCAATCATTTTATGAATTTTCAAAATTTTTTTTAATTTATTTTTGACTGTAATTCATATTGTTATGCCATTATTCAAGAAGTTAAAATTCGCATAATTTAAAGTTCTTTTTTTTCATTCATTAAAGTTAATGCATTTGTTATTTATCAACATACGAAGTCATTCTCTACCTTTTTCTTTTTTTCAATAAGTCTTTTTCAAATATGTCTTATTCTTTATTTATTACTTGTAATTCTTTTTCATTTTATTTTATTAAGGAAAGTATAAATTGAGTCATTTTATGTCCTTTCACTGTACTACACTGTCAGTAAATGCTTCTAGTGGGAAAAAAGCAAATGCTTATGCATATTAGACGTAATTTCGATGTTTCAATCTGTGTTTTAGATTAAATTTTGTGTTATCAAAAAAAAAAACTGAAAAGTGACAGACATCATCTTTTTATTTTCACTAAAATGTCTGACCAATATAATCTTTTATATCAGAATGTTGGCAGTATTTTCCTTTATTTTTTTACCTGAATGTGTGGCCAATATAATCTTTTACTTTTTACCGGGATGTTTGGCAATATAATTTTTTGTTTTTTATGTGAATGTCTGGCTGTATATTTTTTTTATTTTTTAATGAAATCTTGGACAATACAATCTTTTATTTTTTATCGGATGGTTGACCAATATAATATTTTGTTTTTTTTTAGAATGTCTGGCCAATGTATTCTTTTATTTTTTATCTGAATCTCTGGCTGTTATGATCTTTTATTTTTAATCGGAATGTTGAATAATATAATCTTTTATTTTTTATCGGGATGTTTGGCCAATAAAATCTTTTATTTTCATCGGAATATCTGGCCATTATAATTTTTTATTTTTAAACGGAATGTGGGACAATATAACTTTTTATTTTTTATCGGGATCTTTAGCCAGTTTAATCTTTTCATTTTCATTGAGATGATTGGCCAAAATAATTATTTATTTTTCATCGGAATATTTTTCATTTGGATCTAATGTCTGAAGGATCGTTTCAAGATTTAAACTAAAGGCAAAATTTTTAATGCTTTTGTATTTAAAAATTTTTAATGCATTTTTCTGATAGAGTTCTACTTTTTTCAACCTAGACCTGAAATTAATTTGCAGATCCTTAATTATTCGTCAATCAGCCACGCACAAAATGATGCATGATTAGTCGATGACGAATCAACATTCTATGAGAATTTTCAATTTTAAGCAAACGACAATTTGGTGCAGGAATCTTCCGAGTACAAGCAAATTCCACAATTGTACCGGAATTATTCAATATATGAAAGAAAAGGATGGGAAAAAAATTGATAATGGATATATTATGAGGGAATTCGCTCAATCTCAGAATTTGGTTGTATATCATAAGAAATTTCGGTATATATCATTACGAAATAAACAACTATTGGCTGAAATCTCTCCACTGAATGCTGGAATCTCCATAATCGAACTATTAAAGATTGATAAAAATGAGGAAGAAATTATTTCGAATATTGAAAATAAGGAAATATGGCGACATGCAAAACCAGCTAATGACAGGACAATGGGAGTGGGAAACGAGGAAAATGAGTATAAGAAAAGGAAATTCAATTGGAAATGGTACAAATTCCGATCAATTCCTTTCATTCTATTACTATTGTTAGCAGCAGCACTAGTGCATTCACCAATACAATTCGTGACGGCTAAGTTAAGAAATGGTAACAATGGATATTGTGAATCAAATAGGGGTTAGTATTGATGTCAATTAATTTAAACTATATTTAAAAGTGCTCATAAAATAAGTGACACAACTACGACTTAATTATCGGCAACAAATTAACCAATAACACTAATTAACCATGTGTCGCAAAGAATGTAAAAATTTTTCATATCTTAATAAGTATATAAGTACCATTCGAATAATTTATACTATTTTTATTGATTGATTTGTAATATTGTAATACTCATGGTTGATATTATCTAACGATGAAATTATTTAAAGGAAGAAAAATCCAAGTAATTAGTAATTAATCTTAATGAGAAACGAATTACTGTAATTTATTGCAGTTAAGTAAAACGAATTACACTAGTTAACTATCGTGAGGATAACTATTCGTAACAATCAATTATAGTAAAAGAATCGAATTGTAATAATTTTATACAATAAATGACTCACATCGATTATAGTAAGAAAGATTAAACGTGCAAGATAATTTGTTACAGTAGAGAAACAAAGTATAGTGATCAATTGTAGCAGGATAAACAAGTTGCAGAGGCTGATTACGGTAAGCGTAGTTAATTGTAAGAAACCTCATCATAAGAAAAACCAGATTACAGCAATCATCGATAATATTATCCATTAAATGGAAATATTCAAATCAAGCAATTATCTACAACAAACATCGGTTACTTTTATCATATGAATGCAATTGGCATACATTGACACAAAATTTTTTCGCCACCAATTTATCATCATTCATCAAGTCATTATTAATTTCTTTAATTGCTCCAAATGCTAATTTTTAAATTAATTATTGTCATCCGTTTATCGTGTCCTAAATTTCGAGCTTTCGTTTTGGCATCTTTTTACTTTTTTATTTATTGCTAAATTTGAACAAACAGTTTGAGAGTTACAGAATAATTTTTTTCCAACTTACTAATTTCTGATTCATTTTGATTCTTCTATTGTTCTTTAACTTATTCAATCACTTTATGTATTAATAATTATGCTCCCTTTTCGCATCATTTTGTTTCTTTTTTCCATTTTTATTTTTTAAATTATACTAAGGTATACTTTAGCTTATCATACTAAGGCATACTTTAGCTTATGTTTAAGTATCATTGTTGGCAACATCACATGTTGTCACACCTGCATTAGCCGCACTTTTTGGCCGTACTTGTCGATGTGCATTCGATTGGCGTTCGCACTTTTGCAAGCAAATTGAACGATACAAATCTTTGCTTGCTGTTCCAAAAATGCAACAGCATGAAAATGATCAACTACCAATCGTTTGCATTTGCAGGTTAAGACTGCTTGCATTTATTAAATGTATACAAATCCCTTTTATTGCCATTGCATTTATTTCATTTTATTTGCACTTTGCACTTATTTACATTAGCTCATATACTCATTTATTTCAATTCGTCCTCAATTAAATTTATTTAATTAACTTACATTTTAGATGAAGTAATTTTGTTTTAGTTCTGTCTGAAAATAACAATATAACAAATGTAATAAATTCAGTTTTCAGACAACTTACATCAGAAAATAACTGTCAACAATTTATGACGCAATGTTATTTTACGCCTGAAAATCAGCATGAAGAGTTTGTTTATTGATGGCGTTATTTTGAAATTTGTAAAAAAGTAGTGATAACTGTTTTATTACCTTAAATTGTTGAAAAATTTGATCATTATTACCACAATTGTTATCACAACCATCACTAAATTATTCTCATATTCGTTGTAGTAGTAGTTAATTAATTTAAACCTATCCTCAACAAACAGCTATTTAAAGGACAATATATGAATTGCGGATGAATATACTTGTTGTTTCCAAAATTTTTGATGAATGAATTCAAATTATTAGTAATAAAAATCAAATTTCCAGATGTACATGTTGTTTCAATCAACCAAATGCATTTTGTAATCAATTACAATGCCACAATGGTGAACCAAAATTTGGCATGCATGCAAACACAACATGCATTTGTCATCCACCAACTTCCTATCCATACAGCATTTGTGCTTATCACAGTTCATCGTTTTATGATCAGCGAGAAGTTAGTTGAACCTTAATATGTGTCATTTTAAAAAGGAGGGAAAAAAGAGAAAATCGATAAATCTATTTTTAAGCATTATATGTATTTGGAATGCTTACAATGTTTGTTGCATATTTCTGAAACTTTTTTTAGCACTCTTCGGGAATGATTAGTGTATTAGTTGCTGTATTGATTTTTTATGACATTACTGTATGCAATCTTAACATATTATTGTATGCAAGAGTAATATAAGTTGTTCAGATTGTTATATCTGATAATCACGATAATGGACAACAGTCTGATTATATCAAATATCCATTGCATGAATCATCGGTGCATCATGAGGAATCAACTGCAATGAGGCTATATGGTATACAAATTACACCTACCTTGGCCATTATCATTGTTCTAGGTATATTTCGTTTGTTGGACATTCATCCAAAATATATCTAATAGAATAAAATTAGCTGTAACTTTAAAATAAACAAAATCAATCGCTGTTTTAATGTTATCTGCTTTTTTCCTATTTATAGTAATGCTGTGCATGAAATAGTTTTAAACAAAAACTAGCAAATATTAAAATGATCACAGATCACTGATCATGCTTTCTTTCGCAATTTATGCATAATTCTTTTTTTGAAAGGTTACGTCTTTCCCTTCTTTGATTTAAAATCAAATTTTGTTCATCTATAAGAGCATTTCTTTTAAAACTTTTTCCGTTCTCTATTTTAACAATTATAAATTTGTTGCATTTTTACAATTAGCTGCAAAAAAATAAAAAAGTAATTTTCTTTTAAAACCATTCTTTATAGGTTTATTGGGTGCCATCATACTATTAACATCGATATTACTTGTAGTACGATCATGTCGTACGCATCGTGAGCATCGTAATCGTGCAGCAAAACGTGAACTGGCGCAATCGGTATTGCTTGAACAACGTGCTGAAGAAGAAAAATATTTGCCATAGAATGAGTCATTTATGATTGCATATAATTTTATAACATTGTTCATACAGATAAGCAGATGACTTCGAACTCTCGAGTCCGAGAGGATTTGTATTAACAAATTCTCTCGGATTCTCAGCTTTTGATACAGTTTCTCCCGGGTTCTCAATCTGTTACAGATACTGTCAGATTTTGATAGAAATTTATTCTTATTGACTCTTACGGAAACGGAAATCAGTGACATGGTGACCATAATTTTTCTATATTCTTAAAATTTCTGAAAAGTGGAACAAATTCGTGATCGGTTGTGTTGTAAATAGGAGGACGAAAAAACGACATCAGCATGTTCGGTTAATTAGGCTACAAATTGTAGTAACTCGAAATTTTGGTTGATGTAACAGTGTTGTTTTTTCCTGCGTGTGTGTGGGACGTACCGCACGTGAATACAGTTTCATTTATTGAAGTCTTATTTATCACCTATGCAGCTCATTCATGAATAATACGACGCTTGACGTACATATCTTCAACAAACTAGTGATTTACTGGATTTTCTCTTCCTAAACATTATAGAATTTCTCTTTTTTGAATTTTATTCGACGGGAATAAGTATATGCAAGTTCCGGCACAACTTTTGCCGTAGCATACATAAGAAATGCTTATACGTGCAAATTTCACAGAAGTAGTACACGTAAGAAATGATTCCAATCGCAGCACACGTGAAAAATACTTTTATTTTTCAGAATTTAACATATCATTGCGACATGTACCATATGTCGGTATATTTTTACAATTTTCATTTAACCTTTTTCAAAATAAAAGTCGACTTTAATTAGCACATTGATGCGGAATATTATAAGATAAAACTAATAAAATCATGTAGGAATGGAATTACTTATATTTATCCCTATTTTCTTCCATCACATATTTTTCTCTCATTAAATTTTATCCCGGAAAAGTTCCCGAGATTATTATAAAAATACGTCCAAGTAAAATTTATGTAAAATTAATTAGGTTAACAAAACTCTATGTAATTTCATCAAAGCAATTTAGCGAATAAATTTGTATTGCATATTTTGAATCCCAATTCGATATCTACTTAATTTATATCAAAAGCTAAATGCCAGGTTAAAAAGTGACAAATGGGGTGAAAAAAAAAGCGACGAAATTTTTTCTTTCGAATACTTTCAAAATTTTTGTTTATATTTAGAAAATACTGAACCAAAAAAAGTGCATTTTTTGACTTCTAAATTTTTTCATATTTTCATGGGAATAAATATGCTTAATGAGATTTTTTATTAAAATTTTTTTAACATATATATGAAAAAGAGATCAGAGATTATATTCATTAAGATTATATTCATTAAGAGATTATATTCATCAAGATTATATTCATTAAGATTATATTCTTTAATTATATTCATTAGATTATATTCATTAAGATTATATCCAGTCACATTAACTGATTAATAATGAATACGATGCATTGTGAATAAGACAAAAATTAACAATGAAGAGTAAAAGACCACACAAACAAATACTTCTATACTGTATTGAAGGTAAAATGTTAACCGTTGTTGAAGATTTCATTTGACCGTAACTTTTCATTTGACTGAAGGGAACAATTTTATCTCTTTAGTTCTATTGCTTCTTGCCGATTTCTTTGATTGTTTTTACTTCTCATATTTGGATAATGAACCTCAAAGTTGGGTAATTAAACTTTTATTCCGATAAATTTGGTTAGTACAACAACGAACTAAGCAATTATGACTTCGATATATTATTAATGACGATAACAATATGAAAGAGAACCAAATGACGTTCGTTATTGTCTATTCAACTGACCTCGTTGAAACACGAAACATGATACACATCGAAACATGATTTTGGTAATCAGAACCCTGTTCTTCCTGATTGGGGAGCAGCACCTTGGTATAGTTCTGAGGTCAGAAGGTCAATTCTGAGGTCACAAAAATTACCGCCTTTATTAGAGCATATAGATACAATAGACGTACAGTTCTAGCATACATTGCACAGTATATCCTCACATACAACATATCACACTCAACGGTATCAAATTAACAAGGAATTATTGATTTACTGTTTCTCCTCGCGATTTACCGACAACCGTAATCCATCCTTATGTCAACACTATGTTTACTTCATTTGTCCATTATTTCTTATATAAATAAATACAATGAATTTATCGCCAAAAATACGCTAATTTATACTAATTACGGCTAGAAATAAAATTTGAAAAAAGGAAAGAAAAAATTTATTTATACCAAACCATTTTTTTTCCAAAGTTTGAAATTTTAATTCAAATTTAAAATTTATGCGGTTTTGACCAACCATGTGGTGAAATATTCGTTCATAGAAAAATTTTTATTTTGAAAAATTTTCTATTTTTTTTCTACATTTGAAATTTTAATTTCGATTCATAATTAATGAAATTTTGATCATAATCATACAGTTAAAAACAAGCAACATTGAGCATAATTATTTAATTACAACAAATTTATTACTTTCATGTTCATTACTTTCAAATTTATTACTATAAATTTGTTACTTTTCATAACTATATTAATATGACTTAAAATTTTTCTCTTTTTTGAATCCAAAACATTGCTAATAAAATGAAAAATTCAATTCAGCAAAATAAATAGCAATTTCTTGGCGAAAAAAAGTAGAGGGAAAAATGTGAATACATATAAAGGAAAAGCTTTTGCAGGACTATAATTTAGTCAATAAAAAAAAGTCCTTCTGAAATTAATCAAATGCAACCGCTAAAAAATGCCTTCAAAATATTTAAAAGTACCGTATCCCTTCATTGATCAGCCAAAAAAAAAGAAACGAAATATTCTTTTTCGGCAATCAAATTTTACAGTTTTTTAATATGCTCATAAACTTCTCACGCAAATGACAATTCCTAACTCTAGTGCTTTCATTATTTAATAATCGCTTCATTTATGCCTTATACTTCTCGATATGATGCCAATTTATGAAAATTTCCACTATATTATGAAATTTTTTGATTGAAAAAGGTGAAAAAAAGTTCATTAACAATAGTATTTCGCTTTTTTAATGTAAACAATTCGGAAAGAATTGTAGTTAAAAGTGAAATTGAAAATTAATTTCCTTGCACTAGCAAATATTTAATAAAAAAATAAAAAAAAGCTTCCCCATTTATTTTTATCAATTTTATAATTTTACAAATTCATTTTCCAAATGGTAAAAAGCCTTTCACCGTTTCCAATGCTTCGTTTACGGCAGTTTTTGCTTTTTCGACCTGCTCGGTTAAACCAAGTTGACCGATAAGACCTAAAACAATGAATTATTCATTCAAATTTTTTTGCACGGATTTTCAGGGAAAAAAAGCTTCTTAACATTTTCATTTATTAGAAAAAAAGCGTCTCAAAATTTTCTAATTATCCTTTTTTTTACTTCCACTTTTTGTTTGATAGATTAAATTAAATAGGTAAATAATTGAAAAAATATGATTTAATAAAAATAAAAAATTGAAGGACAAAATAATTAAATAAAAATATCCAAATTATCAGTTAAAATAATACTATCGTCATCTTCCATTTCTTGCGCAATTTGCTGCGGAGTTTTCTTCATCGATGGACCAACGATACGACCATCTGTCGACGTATCAAATGGTATACCGCTGATACCATCTTCTTTTTTTTGAATATTGTACTAAGAATAGTCATGAATAAAAATAAGAATGAACTGATAATTTAAAAAGAAATGATAATTTTGGATTGTGAATAGCTATGCCAAAAATTATTGAACCAAAAAAAAATCTTTTTGCTTGTTTAAAGCAATTTCCCCCCTTCATAGTCTTAAAAATTAAGCAAATAAATTATTTGGATAATGTGCTACTTTTGAACGAATATCTTGACGCATTTTTTCACGTTCTCGCTCCATTTTACGATGACGTTCTTTACGTCGTTCTTCTTGCTCCAATCTTGCTGCTACGACCTGCAAATGATCACTTATACAAACTTTATTTCAATGTTGTAAAAAATAGAATATAAAAGATAACTAAATATTAGCTATAAACAGCATTACAATTCAAAATTAGCAATTTTATTTCAAAATCCGAAACTTTTTTTGATTCAAAATTGTTGATTTTACTTCTTTCAAGTAATTGGCAAAATACATGAAATGACGAAGTATTTTCCTAGGTAATCGTTAATTGTAAAATGGTAGCAAACATCTCATGTTTTTTTCGTACAAAATATGAAATATAAAGCAGAAGATGAAGTTGTACTTCGGGATCTTCGCCAGATTCTGTCTTCTCGCCACCTTCACCATCTTTGTCACCGGTCAGTTTATCGATTCCGCCTACCCAATATAAGCAAACATTAATTTACACGGATTGTTCAGGATAATTTTCGGATTACATTTAGGATTAATTACTTTCTGGATTATGAAATATCCATTTTCCCTCTTTCAAGAATACAATTTTGCCTAAAAAGCATTACATTTATAACTTATAAAAACTTAGCAAACACTAATAAAATATTTTGAAATTTTCGTAAAACTTCATACCTTTCATTTCATTCAGTTTTCCACCAACCATCTGTTTCATAATAAAGCTGGCCATTTTTTTTTGTTGTCGTTTTTGTTAAATTTCAGGATTCGTGAAGGGCTAACAATCCTTTAATTTATTTTATTCGAAAGTTTTTAACTTTTTTCAAGAAAAAAGATTCGATTTCTTTTATAAAAAGAAATAAAAAATGAAAAATTTGATGGAAAAGAAGGGGCAAAATGAGCACAGAAAAAAAAAGGAAAGTTTGTTGGAAAAGTATTGCAATAAAATTTGAAAAATTGCATTTAAAATGCTTTTTGCAATGATAGCACAGAGAAAGGAAAAGGAAATATAAAAAGTTTTTTAGCAATCAATAAAAAGGAATCAGTAATCATTTAAATTAATTTCATTTTATTCGTCTAAGGATTTTAATGCAAAATGGATATATTTTAAAAGATCGAATATGTGTTAGATAGGATGAAAATTATGTGCATGCATAAAGAAATAAGGAAGGAAAGAAGGGAGGAAGAGAAAGAAGGAGGATCGATTGAGATTTGAATTGAAATTTAAGGAGAAAGAGGAAAACAAGTAGTAGTAGCAGTAGTAATAACTGCCCTCTGCAATAGGCAAAGCAAAATTCTGCCAAAAAAAAGCACAAGCTTGAAAATAGCGGGTGAGAAAAAAAAAGTTTGGAAAAGTAAATGAAATGCATTTTTTCGTTCACTTTCATTATTTCAATTTCAATAGTGAAACAGTATGAATTAATTGAGACACCAAGGCGAAGACATTTTAGCGTACAATGATATTGCCGCTCGGCGTGAAATTCCATACATTATTACTTACTTTCAATAGAAAATTCCCTTATGGCTCAATAATTAATGAAATTTCTCTATGAGCATTTTATGCTTTAAAACTATAAATGTTTGTATATTAAACATATAATCAATTTGTAAATATGTAAGGAATTTCAAAACATATCAATTTTGTAAATTTGAATTTCCAACAATACATATGCATTAACAACGGGTAAATTTTAAAAATTTATTACCAAAACATTGGGCAAATTTTAATTCTTAAAGACAAATACACATTATAAAATTATAAATTTCAATTTCCAATCATAAGTATTTGACCATGTTGAAATCAGAAATTGTATAATGCATCCTTTCGTATAGTTTGAATTATTTGAAAATCACCTCATGATCTTGAAAATTTAACTTCAATTTGAGTATTAGAAGAGGAAGAAGTATTCATAAGTTTATTATTTATTCACTTCTCTTTCTTTTTCTTCCTTTTCTCTCTTTTTATTTTCATTATTTAAACATTTATAAAAAGTTTTAATAAAAAAAAGATTTTAGTTTCAAAACTAATAATGATTTTTCCTTCTCAATTTTTCTCATATTTTCAATGGATTGTCGGAAATTTCACAAAATTGAATTTTACAATTTTACGTGTTGTGTTTAAACTCAATCGATTTATCTTTTGCTTGTAATGTTTCACAAAAGAAATTGTGAAACATATTTCAAACTTGTAACTTTGCAGTTAAAAGTTTTGGTTCAATAAGGGGTTAATGGATTATATATAGGACCGGTTAATCGTTGAGCAAATAATAATTCTAATTAGTTATGCAATCGGTATTAATCAATCTATCATTATCACTACTACAATACATGATGAGAGTATTTTTCTTAATTAGCAACGACAAACAATTTGAATGCTTTCTTGTCTTCTGAAATAATATTAGCTTAAATACCTAGTAAATATCTACCGATTGGCAAATTCCCATTGCCATTTTTAAATTTCAAAATTTTCAAATTTTCATAATCAAATATGAGACAAATTAAATTACTTAATGGTTCAATCTAGAGAGAAATGAAGACAGTAAAAGATTAAATTATTATTAATTCAATAGCAATTTTCGAGCATGGAAGAATTGCAATGACAATGAAGTGAATAGAAAATAATCATGATTTGACAAAGAAATGATGATAAATGTATAAAATGATAATTGTAAGTAAATGAGAGAACAATCATAATTTGATGAAAAATCGTAAACGAATAAAGATGTATGCAAAAAACGAAAAAAACATATTAATTTTTCTTTTTTCTATTACAATTGAATGAATTGCATAATGCATGGAATTTTTTCAACATTTCAAAATTTTTCCAATATTCTTGTCATGGATATATTTTCAAATTTAAAAAAAAAAGATTTCTTTTTTGTTTAATAGAACTTTTTTTTTGCTTTTCTTTTTCTTTTGGAAAAGAGAGAGGAAGAAAAAAAAGCCATCTTCAAATTTTGCTTATGTGGCAAAGTTTGTTATCTGTTTATGATTAGAAAGTAAGGAATAAGCTGAACAAATGGAATGGAAAGCCTATCGTTGTAATGACAACTTACTGCTCCTTCCATGCCTTAGTTTCAGGCTAACTAGGCCAGTAAATATCCAAGAAGAGCGGAGGGAGGGATGTGAAAAGATAAATAAAAGGACAGAGAAACATACAGACATGGATAAACGAAATAATAGCCTCGTGAGAATTGCGTGTCCTAAGGATCGATTTTCGGTTCAAAGCCTTAAAGGGAACAACATTTGTCATTTTGTGTATGCTTGTGTATATCTACGTGTGCATATGTATGTGTGTATGTGTGTATGTTTGTATGTTGTATGTGGGTGTATATATATGTATATATGTATATATGTATGTATATATGTATGTATGTATGTATACATATATGTATGTACGTATGTATCTACATAAATGTGCCTTATAGTGTACGTCTTTTTGTCTGTTACAGTTTTGTAAATCTGAAATTAAAAACGTGACGAGTTCTAAATTATATTAATGAATTTGATTGTATAAAGAAGGAATTAAAAAATGTGGCGAAATTTTGAAGTATAAAATTTTAAATTCAACTTAATTAGTTGATACAATAATGTGTCATACTGTGGTGACAAGAGGGAGTAAAAGTTAAATGAAATAGGTTGTTGAAAGCAAAGAAAAATTGCGAATTTGAATTAGCAAACATTGTAGGCTGAAATTGAAATAATTCATTAGCCTGAAACTATTTAACTTGAAAGTTCGGCCCAAATCTGTGAACTTGAAACTATTTGTTGAATTGTTACAAAAGGAGAACATTTCCTGCCATATTCAATCTTTTTTTTTTTTGCTTCATTTCTTCACTCACGTCGTTTAGGTATAATTGTAAGGTTACGGTAACTTGCTATACTCAAAAATGGCATAGTGGATGTTTTGCATAAACCAAATTTATTCACAATGGAATAAACAAGCCATAAATAATTGTGCCTAGGATTTAAGGATCCAAAGAAAGAAACGCTTCGATAATGTTTCAGTGCACTACAAATGGAATCAATTATTAAGACAATAAATAAGACAAAGCAAAATTTTAATTACTAAAATATATTACAAATGTTATATTGTTGCAAAATGGAAACTTATTTATATTCGAAATAATCATTAATGAAAAATATGTCTAACAGTTACTAATCGATCTTTCGAGATTCAACTTTTTTTCACTTTCAAACATTCAGTGATATGAATGATAAAGTTGGAGCTGCTTGTTTCATTTCTACTCAGCTATTTAAGAATTACTAAGTGAGCATTGTAATTATTAAGTAAGAAATGTAAAAGGTAATACTATATGATTTTCATCTTTCTATGTTTTTAAAATAATTCGAATTTCAAAGTAGTTTTTCTTCCTATAATTCCTTTTTTAAAAGCCTATTGTTATTGCAATTTCAGCCAAAAGTTGGCTCTTTTTTTGCATTATTTTGTATGAGTTATTATCCCTACGAAACTATTAAAATTGAAGCAGGAAAAAGAGAAAAATAGAAAATTTCATTAGATGAAAGAATCTGAAATATAGTGACAACAAATATACTAAACAAATTGTTGTGATATTCCTGCTATGATTATAATCAAGTTTAGTTGATAAACGTTTATTTACGTTTATTCCTGAAATCTGCCCTATCGAAGTTACGTTATTCGTGTTTACTAATGAAATTTATTATGCTTAATTACGTTTGCACGTGCCAAATTTGTCACATTGAAATCGCATTTATTCGAATCTATTAATTGAATTTACTAAATTGAAATTACATTTATTGATGAAATTTGTTACTTGAAATTACGTTTCTTCGTAAAATTTAATTCGTCAAGGTCACATTTATGCGTCAAATAAAACAATCAAATAAGTTCAACTTTAGTAATATCTCATAAATCGTATTAGTTTGTTAATAAAATAACTTTAGTCATTATGTAAATAGAATTTATAAATATAAATTATAAACAACAATAATCGTTATTTCATTTAGGAGAGAGAGAGTAAATATCATTTTTGCGCATTTGTGCAAATTATCGTTGCGTTGCGTTTCATCTCAACAAAGCATATGGAAAAACCTGTAAAACTTCTTAAATATTTACCTGAATCGAAAAAAAAGAATAAGCAGTATTAAGATATATGATTGAAGCTGAAACTGCTTTTCACGACATTTGTTTTTTCTCTTTTTTTCTTTTTTTGATTTTTGATTTTAAGATGGCACATGACATGAGCATGACATATGCGAAAGTTTGTTAAAAGTGCAACATTTACGAATTCTTAAATTCAATTTAGTGATTCATTGTGAGTATTTGTTTCGACAAAATTACTTTATTAGCAGCTTGTTCCGTGGATTCTATTCAACGACTGTTTTCTTATATATGATCTAAGTCCTTTTATTCAAATTTTTGAAAAAATTTTAACAATTTTAAACACATCGTTATAAGGTTAATATACAAATGATGAATCTAGGATTTTCAATCCGCTTAATTACTTAATTAATTATATATGAAACTTTGATAAGACTAAACTGGAAAAGATTAAAGTTTGAAGGAGCGAGAAATGAACGATGCATAATCACAGTTGCACTTAATGAAAGAACGATTATTAAGATGGTATTCAGGTATGTTAATATGAAATATTTTTAATTTAGTATAATATTAACTCATTAAATTTTGTAGATGAAATGATATTTCCAAATCGATACTTAAAATAAATACTCGAAATATCAAATTTTTAACGACTGATTATAGCTGCGATTCGATTCCTTAGAAAAATATTGGAGAGATTCAACGAATGCATCAATTTGAAAGTAGGACGTTGAAGTGTTCATCTATTTGTTTACTGACATTAGCGATGTCAACATCATCTGATTAATGGATATTTAAACTTTTGAGATTTCACAACATAATTTGATTTTTTTATTGAAAACCTCAAGCAGATTTAGTAAAGCAATAAATAATAATAGGTGAAAAAGGATAAAAGAAGGAAGAAAGCTACTTAACATCGGCGTATCAAGGTATTTGATGTCCGATGCGCACATTAGACGTAAAGCAAAATGAATTTTGAAGGCTTAATGCAAGAATTTTAAGTTCAAAAGTAAATTTAAAAGTTATTCTTATAAGTTTCATCTTTAATCGGAGGAAATCCAACTGAAAGTGTATTGCTAATTATGTGTTTTAGGAAAGATAGCCTTAACTTCCAAATTTTTTTGTTTATTGAAAATAAAATGAATGCATAAACAATTCCATTTTTGATGAATGGAAAATGAAAAGTTAAATCTTTTGTGGATTTCTAAATTCTTAGTGATGACTTACTAATACTTACTATTAACAAACTGTCACAGAGTTTACTTTTAAGTTTCTAATTACTTATCAATGAAATTGATAACAACGACTACGCATATAAGTTGAATAATATTACCTGAAATTTATCAAAAAGAATAAAAATTTCATATGAAACAAAGCATTATGATAAAATCACAGAGAACAATTCAAATGCATTTCATTAACTTTTGATGTCAAATTATAGTTTGGATTAAAAGAACTCTAAATGCATAATACCAGAGAAGAATGATAAGTAATATTATGGCTAGAAAAAATAATGATGAATTATGGACATTAAAATGGAAATAACCAAACAATTTAATAATGACAGAGATAAAGATAGAATAAAGTAGAGGAGAGAATTATGATATCATGATAATTTCATCGATAAACCTTCGATAGTACAACACATTCCATCAATACATATTACTGGACATCCTCCGGCTAGTGGAATGCATGACTGTGAAGTAGTACATTGCAAGCCAAAATACGCCCACCATTTGGACATTTTTGTGGTACCTTAAGCAAATGACTCATTTCATTTCGGACTCCGGAAGAAAAGTTATTTTTCAAAACGAAACGGAATCCCGCACCAAATGGACTCTATTCAATTTCAAATCTCAAAGTGAAGAGATAAAACAAAAGAAAAACTGAAGTAATTTGTTCGAACGGTCTGAAGATTTCTCAGATATTTGATTGTTTTTAAAATTACTGGAAAATGAGTAACCAACCGTACAACAAATTCTTTGTAAACAAGCAACCGGTTCTTTGGTGAACGGAAGACATTGCTAAGGTTGCATACAACCAACCACCAGAGCTGTTCCTCCGTTACTACAGATTACTGGAGCGGGATACGGTATTTAATTGGATTGTTTGATTTGGTACAACAT